TTGCTAGAAAATGACTGCCTTATTCAAAGCAACAAAAAGAACTTTGACTAATTCGGAAACATGCAGTATGTCCAGTCACGTGTAGTAAGTTGTTGTCAATGAGATCTAATACTGCAATTTTTCTGTCCTCCAAGTGCAAGGATTCGATCCCTGTCCAATATCTAACTCTTCTACTGGTTGTACTGGGAGTGTCTTCTTAGATCAAATATTCAGACACTTAAATCCTCCTAAATCCATCCTTAGATTTCCTACACATTTTAGCAACTCCTCTGGAGTGGAGCCTCTTAATTTCCTCTGGCCTCGCCTGTCACTTCTGCCAAGTGGCATCTGTCCTTTTTGGACTCTCCCCTTTTTAAAAAGAAATATTTTTCCAGTTACAGATGAAAAAGCTTGGAGAGTTCCAGCAATATCGCATGCCAAGACTGACTGTAGGTTGCGAGGCTTTTATTTGCAGCCGCGTAGTTGCTAGCAGTTTGTGTGATTAACTATTAGTAGATTACAGTGTCTTGTTTTGGACTGGTTTTCATGTAGGGACACAAAACAGGCAACTGACCTAATGAGTGTGTTCGTATATTACAAAAAGATGAAAATGGATAAAAGCTGAGTACTCAGTACAATAAAAATTGCTGATGTAGCATGCCCGTAGCCAGGTGCCCCCCCCCCCACAAGGCTCAAAGGTCCACTTTTTGGTCCACTTTTTATGTAAAGGTCCACTTTTTGGTTCACTTTTTATGTAAAGGTCCAAGATTTTTCTTGAAAAGATGGACTGGAATCGTAGAAAAATTGCTCCCTTTGTCATTGAATAAAAAATCATCTCTTTTTTTCTTGGAAATCCTCTCAAAAATGCATGAAATGCCATTTTAGAAGGTTCACTTTTCAAAATTTTCCGGGGGAGCATGCCCCCGACCCCCCCTACGAACCTCGCGCTTTCTGCACTCGCCTACGGCGCTCGCTGGTCCCCTCAAGCAGGGGAAAGAACCCCCCCTCCCATTCAAAATCCTGGCTACGGGCATGAACAAATAGTGTCAAAGCTGTACCATGTGTTTTCAGTGTGCTCATTTTCTAAATGTTGTTGTATTTATGATGAAGTACCAGACAGGCCAGAGCAGTTGTTCAAGGATGTGTCATTTTGACAAAACTGTGTGGAAACACCCCCTAGCTTGCCTTCAGACAATCAAAATCCTCCAAATTGCTCCAAAATGCAATCAGAATTTCTCCTTTTAGAATTGGAGATTGTCCTGTAAGAATCCCCGCTTGTCCTAGGCCGAATTGGAGACCCTATCTCCCCTAGGAGAATCCGGAATCCTCCTAGGAGACATTGGAATTCAGACATTCAGATCCCAGTTTTGTACAAAAAAACTTGAATTCCAGTCTCCCCTAGGGGAGATTGGAATCCCTATCTCCCCTAGGAGGATTCCAGATTCTCCTAGGGGAGATAGGGATTCCAATCTCTCCTAGGGGAGAAAGGGATTCCAATCTCCCCTAGGAGGATTCCGGATCCCCCTGGATTCCAATCTCCCCTGTGACATATACAATGGCTTGTCCCTAAACTGTCAAAAAATAGCAGTGAAGATCCTTACAATTCCCTGTTAATTTCTTGGAAGACCCTAGAATGCCAAACATAGAGTTTCAGGAAAACCTTGGCATTAGCAAAAAAAAATTCCTGACAGTTTGCTGGGTAAGATCCTAGAATGCCAAACATAGAGTTTCAGGAAAACCTTGGCATTAGCAAAAAAATTCCTGACAGTTTGAATTGCTGGGTTTCCTTATGAAGATTTTCCTGGAAGAATTCCTTGTAAGTTTCCAGAAAAATCCACAGAAAATTCCGGGAAGCTTGACTTCCTCTTTGCCAACTGTTTCCCATATAATTACCTCTGTACAGAGACTAGAGGAGCAGCTGAATGACCTGACAGAGCTGCATCAGAATGAGATGAGTAACCTGAAGCAGGAGCTGGCCTCCATGGAGGAGAAGGTGGCGTACCAGTCTGACGAGCGAGCACGCGATATCCAGGAGGCTCTCGAGTCCTGCCAGACCAGAGTCAGTATCCCAAAATAACTTCTGCTATACATGCTGGAAATCACTTTGTATTTTGCAGTCCTTTTATATTCAATGTTTTTGCAGTCACTTCTATATTACAAAATTGCAAACTTTCTTTTTTCTGCACCTGCTACCATGGCAAACATATAGTTCATACAATGTATGTCCATTATAAAGTGATTAACAGTATAATTATATTCTTGCCACAAAAGCACCACCTACATATTGGCTACAATGTAGCGGCAGTGGCAGTGGGTTGTTAAGGACTGAGTCTAGGGTACAATAATAGAAGGTGCAGCCAAACCCTTTTTTCTACCACCTTTTAGAGCCTCAACTGTAGTCAGGTACCCATTTTACACCTGGATGCAGTGAGAAAAATCGTGCACAAGATTGGTGGTGTGACAGGATTTGAACCAAGAACCTCTGTGTTTGGGGCCAAATGCCCTTACACTACATGTACACGATCCCACTACATGAAGTGCACTGTCAGATTTTGAACCTTGTTGTCAGATCCACAGATATCTAAGATGGGCCCTGGACACAGAACACATTGAAAACGTACAAATGACACAGAAACAAAACAATATGGCAAAACGTACAGAAAGTATACTTACAGGACAAAACAAACATATGTTTGGACAAATGGACACACGTGAAGTATAGATTATTTTAAAAAGATCTTGTTGTCTGCTCCACAGATATCTAAGATGGAGCTGGCTCAGCAGCAGCAGCAGCTGGTGTCCATGGAGGGGCTGGACAGTGCCAACGCTCGCGCCCTCATCTCAAAACTCATCAACGTCCTGCTGGCCGTCATCGCGGTCATCCTGGTCCTGGTGTCCACTCTGGCCGGCATGGTCACTCCCATGCTCAAAACACGGTAATATCACTTCTGTTGTGTACAATGTTGTCTGGTAGTTTGTTTTAAGAAATAGAGCTTTACTTTTTATCATGCACAGTTTTATGGTCCAGGAGTAAAACTTAAGTCTATAAGCAGTGAGCTGCACAATTAGTAAACTAGTACAGAAGATGGAAAAGCTGAAATTTCTGCGGCAGTACCATTTATAGAAGTTGTCAGAAGGCCTACAATTTATCTGGACCGACCTTCATTTTCCCAAGACCTACCCACATACCAAATAATGTCACAATCCATCACCAACTTCTTAGGTGGTCAAAGTGTAGTGAAACACAAACAGACAGACCAAAAAAAATACTGCCTCCAAATCTCCAAATAAGAAGTCAACCCCCCAGTAATATCTGTATCTGTACAATGTATATCCGGTATACTGCCCTTTGGCATAACACACCAGCATAGAAACACCAGATGGGTCTGTCGACTAGACATTTTGTGTTTTTTTTTAGTATCATTATATCTGAAATTAGCCTTCTGGCATGAGTTTGCAAATAAAGTTTTTGAATGTTGATGTTTATGTTGATGTTTATGTTGATGTTTACAGAAGCCGGGTAGCGAGCTCCCTCCTGGCCCTGCTGGTGACCGTGCTGCTGTGGAGAAACTGGGGTTACGTTGTCGACGCGTATCACCACTTCCTCGAACACTACGCCGTCATGGTCACCCTCAGATGACACCCATACGCACCGTAACATATCTCGTATCGTCCGTACGCTACAGGCATATCTTCTATCAGTACAGCGCACTGGTATCAACTTGTTGCACTACAAAACCGATTGTGTATACTGGAACAACAAGGCTGTGATAGGGGTTATGGGTATCAGGTATCTTTGTTAAAGAAATTTGATATCAGGTATCTTGG